TAAGATAATAAATCATAAATTCAGCTGATTAATAAAAAAAAAAAAACAGTATTAGAAGTTAATTTTGAGAAAAATTGTATTTGTACTTTGATATAAAAAAAAAACTTGACTTCCTTTTGAACCAAAAAAAAAAAAAAACTTTGCATCCCTAAAGACGAAGGAAATAACTCCTTTCCGCGTTTCCTCCTCACCGAAGTTTCGTTCGTCGCTCGTAAATCCCAATTTGAGATTGTTTCCACTCAGATCGAAGCTTTTTGAATCATGATGAATTCCATCTTCGGAAAGCGGAAGACTCCTGCAGGTTCTGATCCTTTGTCTCTCTCTTTTTGAATCTATCTTGGATCTGTGGGCACATCGATTTGAAGTTTTATGGGATCTGTGGGATTGCGTTTAAGCCAATTCGACTATCGCAACTGTTGTTGATCTCTAGTTTAAGGCTTATTTATCTGACATGGTGATCATCAATGTGCTGATGGTCTTTTGCTCATCTCTTTCGTTCCTTTTCGAAAACTGGGTCAGTGGTTAATTAAATTTGATCAATTTGTTGTTGAAATGACATATCATTCGATCAAATGCTTCCAAGCTTGTTATTCCCCAGCTCACATGATCGATCACACACACCAATGTTGTTTTGTTGCTAAGAGTGAGTATCATGCTGATGCGTAAGGTTTGATTTGTCTATTCCAGAACTTCTGCGAGAAAACAAAAGGATGCTGGATAAGTCTATCAGAGAGATAGAGAGGGAGAGGCAAGGCCTTCAAACACAAGAAAAGAAACTCATTGCTGAGATTAAAAAGACTGCTAAGCAAGGCCAGATGGTTTGTCTTATTTCTTCATTACCTTGCATTACTTAGTAATTGTGTGGAATTTAAAGCTTAACAAAATGATATGTTGAAACTCTTTACTGCTCCTCCTTCGGTTATAGGTATAAGGTTTGTCTTTATGCTGTATCATTCTGTTATATCTGTGTCACCAAGTCGTTGCAGTGGTGCTTAAGTGGGAGTCTGACTAATTTCTGTACAAACCAATAGATTATAACAATGTACTCTATAGACAGAGAATTATGTAGTGTTTGTTTTTGCTGATGCTTTAGTTTTAAATGAAATATTGGTTTGAGATTATTTGATCAATAACACTTCGCCAATAAGTTTTTAATAGTTTGATTGAAAAGATTGTGTTTCTTCACAATCATACATCTTCTGTGAATCGACTATAAATTGTTGGATACTTTTTCACAGGGAGCTGTGAAAGTGATGGCAAAGGACCTTATCAGAACTCGGCACCAGATTGAGAAGTTTTACAAGCTTAAATCCCAACTTCAGGGTGTATCTCTTAGGATCCAGGTGGGTTGAGTTTGTTTGCCTTTTAGGAAATAAGTATAGATGCATCTTTCGATCTACCAAGTTAGTTACTTCAAATTTTGTTATTTCAGACTCTGAAGTCAACACAAGCAATGGGTGAGGCAATGAAAGGTGTGACTAAAGCAATGGGGCAAATGAACAGGCAGATGAACCTGCCATCTCTGCAGAAAATCATGCAAGAATTCGAGAGGCAAAACGAGAAAATGGAGATGGTCTCTGAGGTGATGGGAGATGCTATTGATGATGCTTTGGAAGGAGACGAGGAAGAGGAAGAGACTGAAGATCTTGTTAGCCAAGTCCTTGACGAGATTGGAATCGACATCAACCAAGAGGTAAAAAACTAATCTTAGCCACCATTCACTACTTCCACAATGGGGGGTATAGATCAAACTTAAAAACCCATATTGGACATTCCTATTTCCATTTCCACCTGTAAGATCCTCAACTTGATTGTTCGGGTTGGTTTATCGGTGTTTCAGCTGGTGAATGCTCCATCTGGTGCGGTCGCAGCACCGGCGGCAAAGAACAAGGTGGTGCAAGCTGAAGCGACAGGAGCTGAAGACGGAGGGGGAATAGATAGTGACCTTCAGGCAAGGTTGGACAACCTTCGAAAAATGTGAAGCCTTTTGGGTTCTGTATCATATATATATTACTGATGGCTCATGGTTTATAAACTTGAAATGCAAATGTGGCAAACGATATGGGGTTGGCTTGTAATAATTTAAGCCCTGGATTTATAAACTGGTTGTTGCTCTTTAACTTTGTATATACAATTACGAGTGTGTGAACGATGTGAGATGGCCGGAACCCAAACTGTTGGAATTCTTTAAGAGCAAGGCAGAGAAGCTAGAACCGACAAAAGTCAATCGCCTCTGTTTCGAGGTGTAACTGTAGTTCCACACATTGCCACGTCAATTTGACGTGAATATAACCTGCACATATTCCACCATTGACACAATCGAATACTTTTGTGTGGGTAATCACCGGATATAATATAATAACTTTGCAATATTTTTGCTAACCGGATATAATAATCGGTTTACCATTAGATCTAGTAATTGGCTCAAAGGTGGATTATATATATTACGCCTAAGATGACACTCTGCTACCAATCTTTAGATATTTACTACTACTATTAGCATCATTGTCTCTAACCTCAGCGATCATGGAGGCATGTGCTCTTAGGTAGGTGATTTTGGCCTCAAATATTGTTAGTTTTTCTTTATCCTGCTTCATCAAATTGTAACAACTTCAATAAAGATGATACCTCCGACGTGGACTTGGATAGTATCTTCCATGTACGTCACATCTAGATACTTAAAATTGTACCATTCCTTTTAACGTCAAGTTGTTTACTTAATGGATTTCAAACACAATTTTGAAACTATAACCAAATGCAATAAGTACTCGTATTTACATAAATTTTGTATGAGTTTAAACTTCAGATGTCGGAAGTTTAGTTGCTTCAAAATATTTGATAGAGTTTGGTCTTTATTTCAAGAAACGGTGAGAATATAGGTCTTACGTTTTTTTATTTGAATTTTTGTGCTTCAAGATCTCCTCCTTTGGAAGCCATCACTCCAAATCATTAGGTAGTATAAACCATGACATAAAATGCGGTTGCCGCTGTGTTCGGCGGTGGCCAGCCACTGCGATTTTGGCAAACGCGGTTAAAAAATCGAAGATCTAAAATTACATATTTTTATCAAGTCTAAGTTTGCAATCGACAATTGGGTTATCGATCAATCATATTAGAGTAAAATCACAAAAAAAAAAAACAATAAAATCGAAAATAATGGTGAAAAAAATTAAGGCCATTGGAAAATAGGGTTAATTCCGCAGGTGAAAGATTAAAAACGAAGGTAAAACTGTCATTTTGTGATAAATAAAAAAGGACAAAAAATAATAAAAATAGACCTTGTGAACCTTCAATCCAGATCTTTAATAAGATAATAACATAACAAACCATTAGTCTAGCTAATCTTTTTTGTTTTATCGCACCATATTTTTTGCTAATCTTTTTTGTTTTATTGCACCATATTTTTATCTAAACCCCATATAAGATTAAATTGTAAAAAATTAGATCCCGAGTAATCTCATATAAATTTCCAATTTGTTCTTTAGGTGCGTTCGATTAACGCTTAACGAATTTTGGAACAAGTGATGTGTTACAAAGTGGTAAAAAGTTAGAGTAATTATTATTTAGAGAAAATTTTAAGATGTTTTCGTGGAATGGCTAGAGGTAAAATTTTCCTCATTGTGAAAAGACAATGAGTGTGGGTTACTTGATTCCAAAAAGATCCGAATAATAATATTTTTTTGAGAATCGGACTGGGTGTTTATTAACCACAAGATCGCCAGTTGAGATAACCTTATCTATACAATCAGCCATTGGAAGCGCAGAAGCTGCCACGTAGGACTCACATCTACTCTCTCCTGCTTTACTTTCCCCCACCTCTCTCCCTTGCCAAACACTGATCTGATCTCCCTCAAGCAAATTCACACAACATTTGCTAAGAGAATCGACATGGCTTCTACCTCCGCTATGTCATTGGTTACGCCACTTAACCAGGCCCGCTCTTCGTCCTTCTTCAAGCCATTGCCTCTGAAACCATCCAAGGCCGTGGCCGCGCCTGGAGGCAGGTCACAGAGGCTCCAAGTTAGGGCTTCTAAGCTCAAGCTTGACAAGGCTCTGACCGGACTCTCGGCGGCTGCTCTCACCGCTTCCATGGTCATCCCTGAGATAGCTGAAGCCGCCGGTCCTGGAATCTCTCCTTCCCTCAACAACTTCTTGCTCAGCATTGCTTCTGGTGGCGTCGTTCTCACCGTCATCATCGGTGCTGTCGTCGGCGTCTCCAACTTTGACCCTGTCAAGAGAACCTAAATCTCCTCTATATCTACTTTTTCTTAAAACCATTGTAATGTGTCTCCTTCTGTGTATTCGTTTAATGTTCCAGCAATGAAACTTTGGTCCTTGTTTACCTGATCTCTTAGTCTAATGGGGATTGAAAGCGTAATTGAATCAATAAAAACCCATCAATTCTTCATCATATACTATCGATCGTCGTACTAAGATGGAAAACTAAACTCAGAATTTGCATACTATGAGTTTAATTGAGAGTTTATGAGTATCTCTCACGTACGTACGAGCAAATCAAGCAAGTATTTACTCTCTGATGTATAATTCACCTTATCCACCTTCACCACAGTCATCTTCACTCTTTGTTCATCACCATACGATTCCTCTTTGATCTTCAGCTTTAACATGTACTGATGAAACAGTCTGTTTCTAACAATCTCTGCGAATTCCTCATCGTTCTGCAATTCGTGTTTCAACGTGTAAAGCTGCTTAGCCGGACACCCCATGATTTCTTCACCAGATTCTTGAAACGCGGTTACCCAAGTCAACCCTGTGTGGTCTTGAATCTGCACTTGAAGGAGGTATCTGTAGTCGCATTCCTCAGACTCTTGGTTGCACCGGTCACAGACCCACCTGTTTGTTCCAGACTGTGTCACCTTCTTGTTGCATTGCTTATCTCCGATCATCAAAGGACAAGCTGTGTAACAGAAGCTGTCTGTCTTAATGAATGATATGGTTGCTTTCACAGTGACCCAGTCAGGCTTATCTGATCTTCCAAGACCTTCCTCTTTGATCTGAGAAACACTTTTTCTTATCTCGTTCCTGGAACCTCCTCCAGGAAGAGCGTCTCTGGAAATGGAGAGCGAGGCAGTTTCTTTCCCCCCATGATCGAACCAGTTCCTCAGTTTGTGCGCTTCAGGAAAATCTGGATTTATGAAGAGCTGTGTTGACGATATTGTCCCAACTGATTTCCCACTGAAGTCACTTACTTTTCCAGCTTTTACTGCTAAAACCGGATAAAACGCTGAATCAACCATCTCTTCGAGTTGCCTACCATCTCGGTTACAAAAGTCTCCCCATAGCGTAACTTCTACGGCCTTTCCCGATTCATCCTTCAGATTCAGGATTCTCCTATGTGTTTCCATCCCGTTCTTTCTCAAGATTGGCACTGAGGGGTTCACAGAAGTCACAACCCCAATGACATCGAGTATGGAATTGTTCTCAACGTTCTCAATGTCACTTATAGGACGGAAGGAGAACTGCTGCCTTGGTATGGAGCCATCTTCATCAGGGCAAAGCTCCACAGTCGATGTTGATTCCAAGAAAATTTCCCATTCATTCTTCAAATGGTTGAAATTTTTCTGTGCAGGCTTCAAACTTCCCTTTGAAATCAAATATACCTTACCGACCTCAGTAACGTCATAGAATCGGTCAACAACAGCATTAAAGCAAGTGACCCGAATCTCCCCTCCATCAGAGTCAAGTAGATCAAAGGAGAAAACTTTTCCATCTCCTCTTGCATTGTTATATCGTCTGATTTCTCCTTTGGCAGTTACTCTAGCCTTAATAGCCCACCGACCTTGGTATGGATTGAGAGCAGCAATAGGGATGATTCGAGCTGGAGCCTCGTTCTTCATTATGGGTCCATGATTTCTGTAGCTTAGGGGCGGTTGATATGAAGGTTGAACAGATGGCCTGAAACTTGGAGTACTGTCGACTGGATTTTGAATGTTTACTCCCCTTTGAGGTGCTCTATTAACAGAATGCTGAATCGCCGGTTCATTAAAAACAACCCTATTTGGAGGTGGTATATTGCCTGGAGCTGAAAGCAGTTTTTGGCCTTCTGTATCGGATTCTGTAGACATTGCTGGGTTCCCAATGGTTTCAGAATGTGGTATTATCGTCTCCATGTTCAGCACCACAATAAGCCTGTACACAGTATTCATAGAGGCATAAGACAATCACAATCAAAGAGAGTAAAAATCCTTCATATATGTCATGCTCAAGCTCAACAAATGGAATGTGTAACTATATTTTCCAGAAACACAATCGACAAAATCGTCTTCATGTTCTTCCCTGGAAATTGTACAAAACATTTGCCAACCTAACATTAAATGCCATGAACTACAAAGGCAACAGGACATATATTTGGCTCGAGGAAAATTGAATCCACTTCATTTTTCAACACCAGATATGATGGACAGATAAAGTAAAACAAGTGACAACAAGCCTCAAACATTAATCTGGAAGATATCTTTCAGAAGCGAAACTATCAGTGATTTTGAACCTCATTGTAACAAATGTGTCACACATAATACTACTACATGGAACTAGGGATGCTCGAAAACATAGAACATCAGAGAAACTGAAAGTTGTATCCGAAGGCAACATTGGTATACAGATTTTGTTCTCATAAGATACTAAAGATGGAATCAGCAAACACAAAGGTCCAACAAAATCACATAGCGTAACTTTTCCCCAAATCAGTAACACCTAGCAAACCTCAAAGTCGCACTTACTTAGCTAAAAAACCAAATACGGTTCCGGGAAACAAGAAGAGAATGATAGTGGAAGTGGAAAAAGAAAAGAAAAAGTAGATCTAACGAGAGAAAGAGAGCGTACTTGCGGCCTTTAACGTCACTGCAAATGTAATCGACAAGCTGAACAATAGATCCCTTATCAACCTGTCGAGACGTGACTCGATCATTGAGCTGAACAGCGAGCATAGCATGCTGAGCAGAGGCACCATCTGAAATGAGCAAACGATACCTATCCTGGCTTCTCGGTGTCTCCTGACTTCTTCCAATAACTTTGATATCTAAAACCTGTAGCAGTGGCTTCAGATTGACGTCGCCTGCGTTTATCGCCGCGATGGCGTTCGGAGTCAAACTCACCGGCATGATGATCTCCAGATCCCGCGAGGTTAACCGAAACCCTAGCAATGGAAATCGATAACACCGAAAACGAATCAGGAAAAAAAATCCTAACAGAGCGAGAGGAAGAGCAGATCGACGACCGAGCTTTGCTCTATAGGGCTGGCTGGATTTTGCGGGAGAAGCTAATGATGTTGGGCTAACTTATATGGATCGATCTCTTTTTTTTTTTTGGGGAGAAAATGCTTAATTTTGAATTTTCTTTCCTTAATATTAAAATTTTAGAGAATCATAATTTCCACGACATAAATGAATAAGAAAAAATGTTTTTATTATCTTTTAGAGGTGTTGTTGCAATGGGTTATCGGTCAAGGTCACACTAAAACTTGCAATTTTATTCATTATAGTGAAAGAAAAAATTGTTATTTAAAAGAAAATTCTAACATTTCTCTTTTCATTAATTTAACTCTAGACATTCCAAAATGTTTTAAAATCTTTTAGAATTTTTTCGAAAAATAGCTAAAGTGATAGATGTCTAAAACTAACTAAACTGTTAATCCACCAAATGCTCAAATCCACTTCAGTAAGAAATTCATCCCATAGAGAGGATCGAATCGTGACATTCTTCATCGCCAAATTCGGTTTTCTCATCATTATGGACAGCTTAACCGGATTTTTGAATTTATAAAGTTTTTTCTTCTGTCATCTCCGTCTTCATATGTTCATCTTGTTGGCTTCAATTTGTATGCGATTCGCTTGTCCGATTTTCGAACTCTATTGGATGATTTTTTCGTAATTCTTCAGAGTTTTCTATGTTTATTCACGTCTTTATCGTTTTCAGTGGTCGTGTTGTTTTCATGGTTAAACTATGGAGATTTATCAACTAGATCCTTCCACATTAGTATACATTATTTGTACTTCTAAGACATTCCAAAATATTCTAAAGCTTTTTAAAAATTCTATAAAATAGTCAAAGTGATAGAGTGAATGTCTAAAACTTTTACAAAATAGCAGCTTCAAAAACCAATACATATTTGCAAAATTAAGGAACTCGAGTGCCTAAGTTTCCAACTTCATTGATCAAACCACATCAGAGACGATTTACCATTATACAACTCCTAACAAAAAAAAAATATGGTGCAATATTACGAAACTTGAGTCCTCAAAGCAACTTATTCTAATCACTTGAGAAAAGAAATAATGGAAATGATGAATAAATTATTTACATTTTACAACAAAAGAAAAAAAAATGATGTGCATAAATACTTGCCAACGATATAAATATAGGGTGCAAATGGTAACGGCTGAATCTGGCTGAATTGCGGAATCTGTCTGAATTTTTGGTGACTTTTTGCAGAATCTGGCAGAAAAACTGTAAATTCAAATGGTAATAGCTGAATGTTGCAGAATTTGGCGG